TGATTTTGACAAATTATGTTAAACATCCCGGCATTTCACGGCTCGCTGAGACAAAAACAGCCGGCTAAATTCATGACTTCCTTTGATTTTGATGATCAATTCACCGGGTGGCGGCAAATTAACTTATAAACTGTTTTGAATGTCCAGGATTTGCATGGGCTGCCAAAGTTTCTGCATCGTTCTGCTTCTCGTTGTTGAGRAGCTTTAGAGTGTACGTTCTTGCAAGGATCTTGAGAAGTGGTGACTTATCCTCCAAATTTGGAGCAAAGTGGGCAGGTGAGATCTTCAATATGACCATAATCAGTTACTGATTATCTGAATGATTTATCCCCTCCCTCCCCTCACCTCCCCTCCCCTCCCCTTCCCTCCCATCCTCCTGCCCCCATGGATATATAATTGACATGGAAAACTCTCAACCAAAAACTCTTGTTTTCTTTTAAGTTGTGACTGGTGCTTCAGATGGGATTGGAAAGGCATTTTCTATACAGGTGCAGTCAATATCAGATACTAAATAATTCATACAATTATTGTTTATTCACTCCTTCGATATCTAATTTTTTTCCCTGCTCCAAAGGGATCACCTCTTTATGATGGGGGTCAGTTTGTGTGCATAAATAAACCCCTACAGGTATTTCAGCTGGAGTTGTWTACTCCTAGTAGACCAACTAATCTATACCAAACAGGCTAAAGGGTCTAGAGGCTAGGATAAGTGTGATCCCAAGGTCCTCCAGGCTAGAGCCGGTTATGCAGAGGACTGATAGCCCACACTTGAAAAGATACTAACAGCAGCCAGAAGTTCATGTATTTTTTCTATTTAAGCTTGCAAAGTCTGGAATGAATGTCTTGCTTATGAGCAGAAATGCAGACAAGTTAAAAAGTGTTGCAGTAGAAATTGGTAAATATTTTTTTAAACACTTTAAAAAGTATTTTGATAAATAAAAGTACATATTACATTATTTGTTACTTTTTTTCATAGTTAATTAACTTTTTTTGTAAGTTAGACAGGCGAGTATGATTTTCTTGAATTCATAAACATGTCCATGTATCATTTATCCTATTTTTTTCCTTTAGAAAACAAGTTTAATGTCAAGACACACATCCTGACAGCAGACTTTAGTAAACAAGACATCTACCAACAAATTGAAAGAGAACTGAAGCAATTTGACATTGGAATATTAGGTACAGTAGAATCCTTCCAAAAACAATCCATCTAACCAGTTTTGTTACAACCCCCACTCCTCCCCGGGGGGGGGGGGGGGGGGGGGACTCCCTAATATCAAAGGGCGGGGGTCCTCGGCGTCCCTTTTAGGGTTTGAAATCGGTATTTTGGTCCCACTTAGGGTCATAATGACGAGAATTTCCCCCAACTGAGTTTTGTGGTCCCTTTTAGGGTATATGACGTCCCTAAGCCGTCATATTTCCTATGAAAGGTAGGTGCTGCATTCAACTAAAACAAAATGACCTGGTATTGATTGGTCCCTTTTAGGGGTGAAATTTCAGCACTGCCACGCCCATCATCTCCAAACACAGGTCCCTCTTAGGGGTCATTTTCATAATTTCCGCCGAGGACCCCTGCCCTTTGATATTAGGGAGTCCCCCCCCGGCACTCCTCCCCCCTTCTTCCTAAGTATACTAAGTAAGTGCAGACTTCAAGTACGCTGTAATAAGGGACTTTACTTGTAAAAGTCTATTCAAAACAGTTTCATAAGAAGAAATGTTAGATTTCTCACAAGACTAGTAATAGATGTTTTTTCTTCTGATTTTTCAGTAAATAATGTTGGTGTTATGTATGATTATCCGCAATTGTTTTTGGATGTCCCTGAAAAGGTAATTAATTCTTTGTTTCTACTATACGTCYCAGCATCCATCTTGAAGGAACTTAAACAAAGGATTTCTCATTAGTATCTATTGTTCATTTCTCCAACTTGGTCGCCGGTCATTTATCTTTTGAATCTCATAGGCATGACTGAAAACGATCAATATTATCATTATTATTAATAGATAAGCTAAAATGTTCATTTTTTAGTAGAAATTGTGGGAATTGCTGCATATAAACATGGCCGCAACTATTTTGGTGAGTATTAACAACATTTTTCTATTGATGAATATTGATATGCATACCATACCCAAGGGTTATATTGCACTATACAGGTATGTTCTGCCAAAAGGGTACTTTTTTCATGGTTTCCAAGCTTGGGCTGGGCTCAGACAAGTTCTTTCTTAGAACAATATATTATAAGGATAGGGCAGTAACCTGGTGGCAAYCCTCTGAGACAGCAACCACCACCAACATCCCCGTTGAGGTTTACCTGAGTGTATATTTATTAAGTGCTTTGACTGTTCCTTTTTCTGCAGATGTCATCAATTGTTCTACCACAAATGGTTCAAAGGTATTCCCAATGGATTTTTCGTTATAAATGACTGAAGGACTGCTGTGTTTCACCTGTTGAGTGTGACCGTTCCTTTTACTTTTGTTAGGAAAAATGGAGCCATCATCAACATGTCATCTTGCGCAGCACAGCAACCAACTCCACAAATGACAGTTTATGCAGCAACAAAGGTTTGTAGATCAAATAATTACTATGCATTCACTTGGGATACCTGTGGTTTTAGGCCAGGTCTCCAAGTGAGTTTGAACACGACCAACAAGTTGATTTGCTTGTTCTCTATTATATCTGGAAGTTTTAGACCTGTTCAGGCCCTAAAACCTGGAAATATAGACCCAAGAGTTTCAAACATAATTTCAAATAAGGTAGGATTACCAAATATGGAAAGGAGAGTCAAGCAAAATGACTGCAGGTCAGATTGACCATCATTTTGTTGTATWTTCTCTTCAATCTGTCAATTAATGTTTCATCATACTTGTTGCAGGAATTTGTTGATCATTTTTCCAGAGCACTTGCATATGAATATTCCTCTAGTGGTGTCATTGTCCAGGTAAAGTACAACCATTGAAGAAGAAATATTTTGCTCTGAAGCTTTTACATCATTAATACGATAATTAATGCAGTGCATTGTTCGATTTGCTTGGGATAAAACATGGCAGATTTCTTTTGCTTTCTCCACAATAACTGATTCCATTGCAAATCACATTTTAGGGACGTAAAAGCTTCAGAAGTCTATTAACYAATGTTTCAATTTGGTACTGGAAAAGTTGGCTTTACATTATCAATTTTCTTTCATTGTCAGTCATTGAGGCCATATTATGTGGCATCAGCCATGACGTACAACACTAACCCCAGCCTTGCGATACCATCACCTAGCACTTATGTTAGCAATGCTTTACCAACCCTGGGAGTTTCCAATCGAAACTGTGGTTACTGGTTTCATGGATTACAGGTTGGTTTATGGTTGATTTTGGTTTTCACTGCCACATACAGTCAATGCTATTAAAATTGTGCAGTCATAAAGACATTATTTGAGACTAGCCTCCTCCACAGGCAACTCTTTTTTCTTCCTTTGGGCTTCCTTTGCAACGGTCATTTTGGCCGTTAGGGACTAGTGACGAAAAAAGGAAAAATTTTCTCGTCACCATTCTCCCTCTTTTGACTCCTCAAAAAGACAGGAAGCCCGTGATTGTTAGTGATGACTGCGGAGGAAGCTAATTTGAGACAACAGTGTTATTTATAAACCTTAGGCTGCGTATTGGCATTGCTTGTTCTTCAAATGACTTTGTTTATGTTGTCTTTGTGATTTTACAACTACACAATAGTGATAGTATTAACAAATCTCATACCCAGTGGTCCTGTCTCCCTTATTGCGCATGCTCAATTGTCAGTGTCTCTGGTCACTGGTGTATTCAAGAGCGGGTCAGGTTGCAGCTCCAAAGAACATTGCTGGTAATTGGTTGGCTCAACACAGAGTGACTCTAAAGAATGAGGCATAAACAATAGAGCCTATTGTTGTAGCCAGCCAATCACAATGGCTTTTATTTAGAGCTGTAGTCAAGAGCCATTGTTTTTCGTTGAGCATGCTCAGTAAGATGGGCAAGGATGCTGGGTACGAAATTGAGGATTGAAAATATGAAAACTACAGTAAGTTGCTCTATAAGAATCAAAACCAATCAAATTGAAAGGAATCATAATTATATATTATGTATATTTTCTCATTCAAAATAGTAAATGTTATAGTATTTGCATTTATTTTTCAGTCATGGCTGCTTGACTTTGTTCCAGTATCACTTTGGATGTTTGGTGCCACYATACTGAATAATCAAATCAGAAAAACTGTGCTGAGAAATAAATAAAGTCCATTATATTGATAAAGCACTTGATAATATTCCAATAAAAATATTTTGACATAAGACTTTGCTTCTGTTGATTATAATTGACTGTTTTTGTTTATAAGAGCCAGTATTTAACAAACAGATTCCATTTTTTACGTCTCTTATAATTTGCTTGTTTTGAATCATTCCCATGAGGCTCAAAGGACAAATCCATGGCCATGTTGCTTACAAGAACAGGTACTAATGATAAATCCTTTGTTGAGCTTCAACTTAATGGCCACTGTGACGTATATTTATTGCAAACAAAGAATACATTGTAGGCACACTGCAGGTGACATCAAAGTCAAGTAGGGAAGCTTTAGAATACTCTGTCCCCTTATAGTTATACAAAACTGTTTTAAGAACAAATGGGGACAAACACTGTAGTCTTTTTACGACCATGTAATATCAAGCACCACTTCGTATAGCTTTCTTTGGCTAYCATTTCCCAAACGTTCCTTCATAGAAGAAGCTGAGATCCTGCAGTACAATCTTACTTAATCTTTCCCGCCCTTTTTTGTTCTATAAATCTGAAGAGTGAGCCACATTACTCGTCATTTTTTTTCACCTTAGCAAGTTTGCAACATTTGCTTTATGTTTGGCTGGAGGGCATTGAAGGAATTGCTGTTGTAGAAGGCGTTGATGATTCGTATCCACCGTGTGGTTGTCTTTTGTACCAAGAATATGTGAAGTAAACAAATACGATAACAATTGTCCAAAAGATCAGCGATATCAAAAGACTTGTKGGAGTAATTAAGCCTGTTCGGCTAAATATCTTCATRGCCTTTTTYTGTGGCGTGTTTCCAGTTCCTCGATCTGTTTGTGGTACTCTTTTGTACATGACTTTTGATTTCTAGTCGCCTTTTTCTTGTCCAAACGAAAAAAATGACCAGGCGTTCCAAATATCTCCGAGATAGCCTGAACCGAGTAAAATTAGAGCTGGACCTTTTTGGAGTGCCGATTTAAGGAGTCCATTTCTCTTTCAAACAAAGGTCAGAACTTATTAAAACGCTTCATATAGCTATGCGTGCTATTTAACAGCAAATAAGTTAATCAAGCAACCATACTAGTATGCAATTTGTGTATCAACCATCCCATGGAGAAGGTATATATTTTTTCATCCCTTCCCTTTCCTTCATTTCTATCTATCTTTTTCCTTTTTTCGGCATGATTTGGGTGTTGTTGTTTTTTTTTTGCTGAGGAAAGGTGAAAGTTAGCTCATGAGTAGTGATCTTATTGCCGTTTCAACAACAAAATGGAAACAATGCCCTTTAAAGTAGGTTGCATGTTCAAATCCAAACCTCATTGGGGTTACAGTGATTCAAAAAGTAATATTATATCTACCTAGCAGAGCATTCAGTCATGAACTTACTTCTTCTTTAGATATAAATATTGAAGATTTATTTATTTTGATGCATAGCATCCATAAATAAAACATTTTGAAACCTTTTTCATTCCCACTTCTGAACCCAATAAACTTTGATAATAAATATTTCTATACATATTTGACTACTGACAGAGGACAAACACTACTAAAGTAAAAAGTGCAAAACACAAAGATGTAAAAATAGATCTTGTTCACAGCTAATTCCATTGTCTAGCATTTAGAGTGAGGGCAATAACCCGTGAAATAAGACTTGACTTTTAAAGTGAGAGTCAAATAGACACAAAAGAAAACAATGCAATTTAAAGTGTATTAGTGTTAGTAATATCTGTTTCATGGTTTTCTTAAGGCAGCTAAATACGAGAAACAAAAACCCTCAACTTGGCGCGAAACATTGTTTCTGTTCAAGTTGAGCATCGGTGTTTCTCGTTTTTCACGATGTATTTTTGTTGCATAATTTTGATGCAAATTCTAAAGTTGACGATGCATGAAAAACGAGAAACTTTGATACTCAACTTTAACAGAAACAATGTTGCGCGCCAAGTTGARGGTTTTTGTATCTCGTATTTAGCCGCCTTTACTTCACTCTAAAACAGTTATAATCAGCATTATTTATAGAAACCAAGGAATTAGCATAATTTAGATGATTTGCTTAGCTGCCTATTTCATAGTGGACGTATGTTGTGTGCACTTTTCCTTATTGCATTTCGTGTTTATAGTTTCCTTGTCCAGATGAAATATAAAATTTTGATTAACATTATGCATATTCATAGGATAACAGAACATTTTTGCAATTAGCATTGCAGCATAACATTGGTAAAACTGTCTATTTCAGCAATAAAAAATCCCCTTAATAATAATTTCCATCAACTTGTGGGATCATGAAAGCTTAAGTCATCTTCGTCTGCATCAATAACATGAGCATCAGTTAGTTCTCGTGGAGTTCGACCAAGAGGAATGATTGTAGTTGACGCCAAGTAAGCGTCAATAGTTCTCTCTGTACAAGCCGCAACAAACCTTATAAAAGGCCGTATATCACCATGATTGGCTTGATTTAAATGTTCATAATACCTGTGTCGATCTTGAAATCGAATTATTACTGGCGGAAATCCCGCCCGCATTAGTATTGTATTCATGAGTAGTCTAGCTGTCCGTCCGTTCCCATCAGTGAACGGGTGAATGTAGACAAGTTTATAGTGCGCAATGGCTGCAAATTCTATTGGATGTAAGATCTCAGGGTCTCGTGATAAGAGCCATTCATTAAACTGTGACATTTGCCTTTCAACTTCTGATGGCGGGGGAGGGACATGCTCACCAACGTAAACTTGTGATACCCTATAAATCCCAGCTTCAAGAGGATGAGCATGTCCTAACACTCTTTTATGAATTTGTAAGATATCATGAACAGATATGCTCTCTGATTTCCGCACCAATGTACTGTTTATATACTTCATTGCTTCGTCAAGTCCTATGACTTCATTATGCTCGATTATACTCTTCCCTGCGACAGCCATGCGTGTTTCCACAATGGCACGTGTCATTGACAGCGTCATGGTGTTTCCTTCAATTGCATTAGAATGGTAGATGTGTTGATAATAGGCTTCCCTAACAGCCCGCTTCATTGACAAACTTCCAGCTGGCAAACTGAAGAGTTTCCGTCTCTTATCGTCAATAATACTAAGCATGTCTCTATCAATTTGTTTCACTTTCGGCAAAGCTCTTTTTCTATTAGTAAGTGCTCTGGAGTCACTTGGATTGAATGATAAAGCTCGGTTGTAAAGATGCTCTGCTTTGACAATGTCATGACTTTCTAAAAATTCCCCATATTGAAGTAATATATCTGGATTATGAGGAGATAAAGCTGATGCTTGTTGGAAAAGCTTTAATGCCTTTTCTCTCTTTCCTTCAGTTTTCATGGTTGTGGCCGCCTTTAGAAGAGCTAAAGCTTCCCCTTCAAGTGGTGAAGGATCTGAAATAATATAGTATTCAACTCAAAGCAAGCAAGCAAAAATTATAAATCTTATGGGAATCAGAATTTTGCTGTAATTCTTAATTCCTAAGCAAAAGTTCATGAGTTCTCTTCCTGTTAATATCAGTCTCCTTTTGACAAGGCAAGCGGACAAAATGAGGAAGACCCCGAGTGAACTGCTACCAAAAAATATCCAGTCGAGACGTTGTTTATTTATTTTTGACACAAATATTCAAAACAATAGTTCTTATATAATAAAAGATAATGAGTATGTCAAAAATATCAATATAGAGCTGAGTTCTTTGCAAGAATACCAGCAAAGATCAAGTACATCAAATATAATTCAAGGAATGTTAAAGATTACGTCATCCTTAATTTGATTAACCGATGCATTCTGTATGTTTATAATCACATAGGATACAATACATTCACAAATCTACGCTCATTAAGCTTCCAAATGCTTTAAAAGACACCCCACGTTTGCAAATACGAATACAGTAATAAAAGAAATCCATACCTGGTACAATTGCGCCCGATAACATTAAGTTGAATCCATGAGGTTCAAGCATCGGTTTCTGGTACCAAAACCCGATGAACGTCCACAAATACATAGCAGAAATAGTCACAAACACGCCGGCTAAGCCAGCAACAAATAGCTGTGTCATAGACGACATATTTCTTGGTTTGAAAGTCCGTAGATTCTGTAAATTACAACGATTACATAGTTCAAGCCAAAGATGTGACAGATCTTCCGCCATCTTGTTTTGTTTTGGATTTTACGTGCTCGGTGTTGATTGGTTCTTAATCGATAACCGAGTGTTTTCCGGAGACTCACCGAGAAAAAAATACAGTGCAAACAAATCAAAATCAAACGAAAAGAAAAAAAAAATCATGAAATACGTTTGAAAAGAACATCAAAACAACAAAGCTATAGCTATCAAACCACAATTAACCCAGTTCAAGAATTTATATCATTGCCAAAATTTTGTAATGAATAAAGCATAGAATAAAAGAACTAAGGTACACTTGTCTCGCTCAAGAATATTGTCATTTAAAGCGCGTTTTAAGCCATTTTTGGAACCCATATACTTCTCCTACACATAAATATTCCCTGTAGGAATATACCAAGTCGATATACGGTACATACATTTCCAAAATACAAACTCTTATCCTTCCTGTGATGAAACCAAACAATTAAATAAATGGGAAGCAAAAAATAGAAATAAAAAAGGGCAAGAGTTAAAGCCCCGCTTCGAAAGCAATTCATCAAAATCTCGACCCCCAGGGCAATCTTGCTGTTAAGCGCGTCACACGTCCCCGTTCAGTGCCACGCTAGCCCTNACATATATCTAACCATTAAATTATTTAACTCTCTAATCAAACCTATCCTACTATATGGAAGTGAGGTGTGGGGTGCTGATATCAAAGATAACATCAAAAACGACCCCGCAGAAGCTGTGCATATAAAGTTTTGCAAAATGTTACTAGGAGTCAATAAACGGGCATCAAACAACGCGTGCAGATCAGAACTGGGACTATTTCCCTTAAGAGTAAGTGCCAGATTAAGAGTGATAAAGTTTTGGATTAATTTCGTTACTTCTGATAAAATAAAGTTATCATACCTAACGTTACAAGACTGTGCTGTTGACAACACTCCAGATTCATGTAGCTGGAGCGGGAAAGTCAAACAAATTTTAAACAAATTAGGCTACAGCTTTGTATGGCAACAAAATTTTGACAAAACGAAAGGAAAAATACTAGCAAAACAAATAAAACAGAGATTAGAGGACATTGAAATACAAACATGGTTAGGGGAAATTCATGATGATATGGGTCTAGAAAAGACACTCAAAGAAACAAACTTAGAACTTATAGAAATTTTAAAAAAACCTACCAACAGGAAAGTTATTTCAAAGAAGTCAGCAATATCAAACATAGAATAGCACTTACTAAACTTAGAATTAGCAATCATTCTTTAGAAATTGAAAGAGGGAGGTATTCACGCCCATATGTCAAACCAGAAGAGAGAATATGTCCTCTCTGCAAAAATGAAAGTGAAGATGAGAAACATTTTCTTCTCAGATGTTCCTTTTTCTCCACAAAGAGAAAAGAAATATTTGAAAAGATAAATATTATTACAAAGAAAAATATCGAGTTTCTTACTGAAGACGAAAAGTTTCACTATATGATAAATCCAGTTTCAAATAAATTGTTACAAAAAATAATCGCAAAACACATTTATGAATGCTTTGAAATAAGAAGAAAGGTTACTGGAACATTTCATTAATAATATATACAATCATAAAATATGTTATTGCATATAAACTCTAATGTAAATACCATTTACACAGAGGCAATAATAAAATATCTTGTATCTTGTATCTTGTAAAACGATAAAACGTCTAGTACAGACATGCTTGGCAAAGTCAACGTGCATGAAAGAGTCTGAGGGATCCCCGCCTTATTTCTCAATTTGTGATTGGTGGAAAACGACTTGAGCGCGCATTGATTCAAGCTGTTTGGTTTTCAAATCACTTTATTAAGAATAAACAAACAAACAGAAAAAAAGTACTTTTCCTAAACTACATTATTCGCTAAACTTTTTTCCTTTTTGTTGCAAATCAGTGACATTAGCCGCAAAGACTCCTGTCTCCGTCTATAGTTTTGACGTCGTTGCGACTAGCTCAATGACATCAGTAAACATCAACATGGATCCAGCGCGGTTAGCTACGATCATGCAAGCGAGGCCAGTTTTCTTTAATTCGTATCCAAAATAAAAAAGCTCGATCAATGGTGTAAGATGAAAAGGTCACAATATGCTTGGCAAAACGATGGAAATCACGTTTCCGAGTATATGAATTCCAAAATGTTTCGGGGAAGCATGCCCGCGAACCCCCTAGATACGACTGCTTCCGCCGGTCGCGTAAAGTGCCTCGGTTAACATTTTACTCTGGCTACGGCGCTGTAATCTTAATGTTTTGAGCTAAGAGCATACTTATAAGAAGATCGATAGTTCTCTCAGTAACAGTTGCAACAAACCGTATAAATGGCCTTATATCACCATGATGGGCTTGATTTATATGTTTCGTATACAGACGTCGATCTTCGCACATCATTAACACAGGCGGAAACCCAGCCCGCATTAATATAGCGTTCGTGAGTAACCTAGCTGTCCGACCGTTTCCATCAATGAACGGATGAATGTAGACAAGTCTATGATGAGCAATGGCTGCAAACTCGATTGGATGCAACATCTCAGGGTCTCTTGAAAGAAGCCATTCATTAAACTGTGACATATGCCTTTGAACTTTTGAAGGTGGTGGAGGGACAAGCTCACCAGCGTAAACTTGTGATACCCTATAGATACCGGCTTCAAGGGGGTTTGTATGCCTAAGCACTCTTTTATGAATTTGCAAAATATTATGGACTGATATGCTCTCTGATTCTTGCAATAAGGTATTGTTGATATACTTTATTGCTTCGTCAAGTCCTTCAGCTTTGCTATGCTCCACACTATTCCCTACAACATCCACGCGTGTCCCTTTAATAGCACGTGTCGTGGAGAGCGCCATGGAATTTTTTTCACATTTACTTTCGATTCCTCCAGGAGCATAAATCTTTTGATAACATACTTCCCTAACAGCCCGATTCATCAGTGTTAAACTACCAGTAGCTAAACTGAAGAGTTTTCGTCTTTTTTCATCTATAATACTGAGCATGTCTTTATCAATTTGTTTTACTTTCGGCAAAACTCTTTGTCTATTAGTAAGTGCTCTGGAGTCACTTGGATTGAATGATAAAGCCCTGTTGTAAAGATGCTCTGCCTTGACAATGTCATGACTTTCTAAAAACTCTCCATATTGAAGTAATATATCTGGATTGTGTGGAGCTAAACCAGAAGCTTGTTGGAAAAGTTTTAATGCCTTTTCTCTCTTGCCTTTCGTTTTCATGACCATTGCTGCCTTTAGAAGAGCTAAAGCTTCCCCTTCAAGTGGTGAAGGATCTGAAARAATARAGTATTCAACTCAAAGCAAGCAAGCAAAAAACAAAATATTCACATGCATCTTTTGACTTAATTTTGTTGCGAATTTTAAACAAAGACCTTTTACTTTTAGTTTATCTAGAATACCAAGATGATGGTTAGTTCTTCATTTTTCAAATTACAGTACCATCATACCTTTTGACTGCTTCGGTGCCGGAAGCGTTGCGGCCGTTTCCGCGAATCGGACTGGAACTAGCCAGCTTTTTGTTATAAAAATGTAAGTCTCTCTAATCGTTTTATTTCTTATATTCTTATTTATTAATAACTTGTTAATCTTTAACCGTAAAATAATAAAGTTATGAAAAAACAAAAAACAAAAAAACAAGCGCACACTTTTGTTTATTGACGACCGCTCTTAGTGCAATAGTTATGCAGCCTATACGATAATTTTCCGTACGAGCCACCTACTCAAACGCGCACAAAACTCCGCCATTCTGTTGGTATATGTATCTAAATATACACAATATATGCAAGCCAACAGAGCGATTCGATTGTCTCCGCGAACATCACAGTCGATCACTAAGTAGGCTATGCCACTTCAAATGAAACTTTGCCATGAGTATGATCGGTACTATTATACTTTCAAGTTGGTAGAAAAAATAGAAACTGTCTTGTCATTTGAAGTCACGCTATTCCTAACAACTTTAGAAAAATTCAAAAAAATTTACATAAGRTTGCGAGTCCTCAGTAAAATCTAATTATGCTGATTACTCGAAAAGAAACCATTTAATGTAATTTGAACGAAAATGATTCTATTGGTATCCAATTTATATTTATGGGAAAAAATTTAGTGAAAATATAATTTCTAAGGTGCAAAAATTCAATACAAAAATATAATTTCTAAGGTGCAAAAATTCACACTTAAGAGGAATGATACCTGGTATAACTGAGCGGTCTAACATCAAGTTGAATCCAGGAGGCTCAAGCATCTCAAATGCCTGATACATGGCAATAAGAGTAATCGCGCCGACAAAGCCAGCGACAAATAATTGTGTCTTAGACGACATATTTGTTGGTTTGAAAGTCCGTATCTGATTCTGTAAATAAAAACGATTACATAGTTCCGAATACTTGATTTCTACTGTAATTTGATTGCGCGAGAGATCATCCAGTAATGTTTAGCTTTAAGTTTGACGTGCTAGTCTTTGATTGGTATTCATAATCGATTACCGAATGTTTTCCGAACACTTTACGAGGGAAAATGTAGACAAATAAATAAAACTAGACGCTTTAAGAGCGCTTACTTCGATCTCACCATCGAAAGCTTCCATAGGTATCACAGACACTGCCATATCTCGTGTCAGAATAATATAATACTTCTTTATATTTTCTATACAGGTACATGCTACTTGATAGGGTTTCTTTTTCGGAGCTCCAAGTCCGAGAAAGGGTATCTTTTTTTGCCCATTTGTCTGGGATAGGGTTATCTTTTTGTCTGGGTTAGGATAGTAGTTTTGTCTGTGATAGGGTAGTTTTTTGCCTAGGATAGGGTATAGTCTCATATGTCTGGGGTAGGGTGGAGTTTTGCCTGTGATCGTATCTGCTAGGCTATGCTTTCAGTGCTACTAATGCGCTAATAATGTACCTTTGAACCTTTAGTCTGGGGTAGGGTATGTAAAATCACAAAAATTGGTCTAGGATAGGGTTACAAGTTATGACCATATGCACAGTAGAGTTAATATGTATTTAATCTGTGAAATTGTACCAAATCAAATAATCTGTGAAATTGTACAAAATCAAAAGAGCACAAAATTGCACTATATTTTCTACTGAAGCAGAACTGCTTTTGAGTCACCATTTTTTTATTATTGGAACACCATTTTCTAAATTCCACAACATAGTACCCCCTCCCCTTCCGTTTTCCCCCTCCCCCCTCCCCTAGAGCCGCCACGCAGGCTACAAAACAGGTTAAACTTACACTGATTTTTAAGTGTGTCCACTCTACTCCATATGCAATTAGTACCACTTTCCCATTATTTTAGAAAGAAAATGTGCATATCCACTTGGAAAAGTCTGGTACATTCATTTCCTGGGGTAAAGTTATAAATAAGCAGGGACCGCGGAGCAGGGGGGCTAGGGGGCTAATGCCCCCCCCCAATAATTTTTCTGCCATTTTGAAATTTCTTAAATAAAGAAGCGAAGAATGTGAAATTTCACTTCTCATTATAAGAAGATTGTGTAAAAACTGAGCATAAACAATTAAACTTGAAGCTTTTTTTTTTTTTTAATTTAAAAATAATAAAAAATAAATAAAAAACTTGAAGCTTTTTTGCGAAGTCTTTGTAATTTTATTGAATATCGTGTGACCGTGTGTGCAGTTTTAGCAGTCAGAAATATGCCTTGGATAATGCCTCAAAACGCTGGAAATCTCCGAGAGTTAAGATTTCGAAATTTTCTGGGGCAAATACCACGAACCTCCCAGTACCTTCTGCAGCCACTAGACCCCCCCCTTCAAACAGATTCCCGCTCCACGGTCCCTGATAAATACAATGTAACTTTGATTTCACAAGATATAAACAAGATGCCAAATATGAAAAACTGTTTTAATATACCATTTTCTTATAAATAAAGAATCTGCATTATAAATTTACTGTAATAATCTGTAACTGCAAAATCATCAAATGATTTTTTATGTATTTTATACAATATATTACATACATGCTGGTGAACAATAAAAACTATTTGAAATGTAGTTTTGAATTTAAAATTTCTCCCTTCAATTCTACATCAGCCAGTCTATATGTTTTTCTTAGCAGCTCAACTGTAATCCGCTTATGTGCAAAACCACAGGTCACCAATGAAACTGGTTTTAACCATGAAAAGGGCCATTAACACTTTTATAACTGTAGTATGTATCTTTCCACAAGGAGTAGGGAAAGGTATAATTTCGAAGTTATAAAGTTAAAACTACTTTGCTATTGTCTCTAAGAGGCTGGAAATGCTGTGACTTCAACATATGGAAAATGGTCTCCTGGGTATCATACATTGAGGTTGGGAGGTTGGCAGGAAAGGGCACATTTTTAATTTACTGATGAATTATTCACTGAAGATGGGTTTAGCATCCAGCAGATCTTCATATTCACAAAAAAATGAATATTTTTTAAGAAAAAATATTACTGTACTGTACTGTAATATGTATTGTAAAACTCATGAATAATTAATGAGGAAAACACAATAGAAATCACAACCGTGAAGAGTGTTGTAATATTTGATACAAAACTGTCTTGATTTGAATAAACTTTAAATCTAATTTTCTCAGCCAAATTCAATTTTATCTTTAAGTTTTTAGTAGATTATGAATGTATACACCTAAACGTTTCACAAGTAATTTACAACATTCG